ATGTGGGAAGGGGATGGAGAGGAGGGGATTGATTTAAGAAATATATATGAGCTGAAACAGAGATCACTTGATGACTAACTGGATGTGGAGAAAAGGGAGACAAGAAAATCAGTGGCTCCACAGTGAAATAGGAAATATAAGAAAAGAAGCAGGTTCAGAGAAAAGGATGATGAGTTCAGTTTTGGTCCCACTGAGTTGCAAGTGTATGGAAACACGTGAGTGAATATCTCCAGCAGGCAACTGTGTGCATGGGTCTGAATATCAGTGGAAAGGTGGAAGTCATAGATACCCTTTTAAAAATCAGTTTCATTGAGAGGTAATTCACAGATGAAAATTCACTAAGTTTACATCTGGTGAGTATTAACAAATGCATACAGTCATGTAACCACCACCACAATCAAGATAGGGAATATTTCCATCAGCCCCTGTAAGTTCCCTCCTGCATTTGGGAGATAGCATTTGGAGAGTCATCCATAAAATGTGGTAGCCAGAGCCATGGGAGTGGATGAGGCCACATGGAGGGGGTATGCAGAATGAGAGTTGCAACAGGGCACAAACTTGTAGAAGCAGACAGAGGAAGTAGGCTACAGTTCACTCTATGAGGGGAACCAGGAGGGAAAGCAGAGGTTTGATAAAGAAGAAATAGCCAATAGTGAGAAGTAGAATAATACGTAAACTAGGATAAGTTCTCTTTAAGGGGAAAAAAAAAAAAAAGCATTGCATTGGTCAATTAGATCAACAGAGACCTTAAAAAAGTCAGCTGCAGTAAAGTGATGGAAGCAGATGATCCCTTGCAGTGGGTGGAAGAAGGGAATGACAACAGAAAGTAAGACAGCAATACAGAGAGGATTTTATGAAAAGAATACGGATGAGACAGCAGCTAGAGGAAAGTCCAGTGGATTTATGAAAAGAGAATCTTGAACCTGGAGTTAGAGAGCCGGATTCTCAGAGCTCCTTGTCTACCAGTTACTAGCTGTGTCATCTTAGAACTCAATTTATCTGGGCCTGTTTTGCTGCCTGTAAAATGAGGCAGCTTAATCAGATGGTCTCCAGAGTCCCTTCTGGTTCTGATTCTGTGGCACTGTGCGAGCATCCAGCAACACGGACACAATTGGAAACCCCTGCAAGAGCAATTTCAATGGACTGGCGGGGATGGTGTGAGCTGAAATGTGAATAAATAACCCCTTGAAGAAACCCGGCTATTAGACATCCTGGAGAAATGGAAGCAGAAGGACACATGCTTCTAATGTCATCGTAAGAAAACATGTTAAGGTCCAAATGGGGCAGAACCTGACCAGGCTGGGCCAGTGTCAATGAACTCCAGAAGAAGAACTAACATTTATTCAACACACAGTAAATGTCAGTAACTCTGCGAGGTGTTTCGTGTAGGGAAAAAATCTAGATGGCCAGCGTTCTTGTGTTAGTTTATCTCCACCATTTATGGAATCATTGTAGGTATCGGAGGGTAGGCATAAATGTATATCATACTTGATCTCTGAGAGCCAAAGGGAAATGAATAGGTTCCCCCAAATATTTTATTCAAAACAAAGACTCCATAGCAAATTTAGATTGATAATTATAGGATTGTGGCACAAAGAAAACATGTTCACAAATTCAGAAAGCATTATGCAGAAGAAAAGGGGGGTTCACATTCAGATCTTTTGTCTTCAATTCCAAATTTCTCCATTACATGACAGCTACCTACTATTATCTTTCCGTAAGTGTCATGTGCCTTGTCTTTCATCCATTTCTTGGATCGCATGCGTTTATCCAGTATTTATCCTTCCCTAGATTATATCTAAATCCCTTTTAAATAGGTAATCTAGTCTCGGCCAAAAAGCATTCTTTCCAGTCTTTGAAATACTCATTCCAGTGTCTACCAATACCCGTATGTGATCACAAGTCAAGTCCAGAAAAAAATCTAATCTTGTTCTTGACAATATCTGTGTATCCGGGTTTTATTATGTCCCATGGTCTTCTTTTCTCTTCTGAAGTCTCAATCCTCAGCAAGAAGAAGAGATGAAAATACCACCCACAGTGCTAAGTCCTTCATTCCTGCCTGGGACTTCGAAGTCAGGAGACATACATGCTGTACTTCTTTTTGTGATAAAATTTATTCCCACACAGCATACCTGTCTTTTGGCAAAGGCTTACATAATAACTTCTCTTTTACCTACGTGGTAAAAAATTTACACAATACACAGGAGAAGTCACAGAAGCTTAACTTGACTAACAGAGAAAGTAAACAAATTAATTTTTACTCTATGTCTTTTTCTTGCTAATGCATTATTTTGGGGCTCCTTTTTGCAAAATTCCACATATGTTTAGATAATTTTCTATGTCAAGTCCAAATGATATGGCCTATTGTACATTTTTAAGTGCAGAGACTATCAGAAAGGAAGTGAGCACATGAAATTTTATGATTTAAATATTGTAATGAAGAAAAAATAATAACAATGATGAAAATGTTAAACAAATTAGTGAACTTTTGAAGCACAAAGGAAATATGTACAACTGAATCCTAATATCTGGTCAGTTAAGGACAGTGCTACAAGCTCCTATTAATCAGCCTTAATAAGGAGGTACCCTTCTGTGTAAAGAGTCACTTTTAAGCCTTGGTATCTAGGCGTTTAAAAAACACTATTGTAAAAATTACAATTAAGGGTGTCTGGATGGCTTAGTCGGTCTGACTCTTGATTTTGGCTCAGGTCATGATCTCAGGGTTGTGGGATCGAGCCCAGTGTCAGGCTCCAGGCTCAGCGCAGAGTCTGCTTGAGATTCTCTCCCTCTGCCCCACCTCACCCAAATAAATAAATAAATAAATAAATAAATAAATAAAATCTTAAAAAAAGAATTACAATTAAGAAGTAATTTTAAAAATATCTTTTGCATTATTCTATTTAAGTGCAGGATATAGTTAGACTTCATCATGAAGATTTTAGGTATTAGTATTAAAAACTTGACCACCCCTTAATGATAAGTTCTCTAAGCAAGTAACTCTAACCAAATTAACATGTAAAGACTATCCATATGTCCTCCTTCATTTAAAAAATAAATCTCACCTCAAGTGGTGTAATAATATATAGCAATTTAGGAACATCAGAAAACATAAGCCAGGAACAGAGAAGAAGAAACAGGCACATGCCTTTCCACAATCTACTAAGAAACAAGAGCCCAATTTTGCTTGATTTTAAGCGAACACACCACCACAATCACATACACACACGCACACACACACACACGAATGCAGTCATTTCAAAACAATTTTATGCACCATTTAAATTAAACATGAATATACAAACTCCTCTCTATATGTTAAGCATAGCAAAATAAAAAAAGGGGGGAGAGAAGTAATTTTCTGCATAAATGCTTTTCTAAAATTCTTGTCTATAAGCATTTTAAAAATAAGACATTTTGGGGACAATTGGGCAAATGTCCATGAATATGGACATCTTATAGAAGACATTATAGATCTATTTAATTTCTTTAACTGATTTCGTTAATTGCCTTAACTAATAATATTATGGTTAAATGGGAAAATGTCCTTCTTCTTAGGAAAATCATGATGTCTCAAACTTACTCTCATGTGGTTCAGGTTAATAAAAAGGTTGCAGAGAGAGAAAAATATGACAAAATGTTCATATCCGGTAAATCTGTGATATGGATACACAAAACACACACGTTCACTGTGTTATTCCTTCAGCTTGTCTATAGGTTTAAGCATGTTTGAAACAAAAAGTTGGAAAAAATTACTCATTTCATCTGATTAGAACTACCAAAATAAACTACTTGATCCAACACATGAGCCAGCAGCCATTACCAAAACTATGCTCTTCCAGCTGTCTTCATCAGTTTGAAAGGACTTCATTTATTTAAATGCGAGAAAGGTGCAGATTTACTTGGAAGGAGAGAAAGGAAAGCAGCTTCAAAGTTTGGGAGCTTGCCTGTCACGCAGATGCCACATTTCAGGAGTATGGGCTCTGTGTCAGTCTTCCCGGCTCTCCCCTACCAGCTGACTGATGGCTATCTGCGGAGACATGCAGGGGGGCCTCCAAGAGGGTATGAGTGCTGAGACAAGATAAGGAAAATGCAGTGACCCCAAACTGAAGGGAGATGGATCTCCCTGGGGTATTCATTTGGATGGACCTCCAAATAGGGGCAGGTAGGGAAGTGGAAAGAACTCTTAGAAACCAGGTGATAAAGCATAAAGAAATTATAATAAAATGAGCCATCTTCTGCTCAGCTTCAAGGACTGGTGACATAAAACTATTTCGTTGTAAATGAACTTATTTTTCATGCTCATTATGGCAAAGAAGGCATGAAACCACTCATAAACTAAGAAAAAAAAAATCCACTTTAATTTTGAAACCCAAACCCTAGGAGTGAAGACTCGGGGATACTTAAGGGGATGCCTTGAAATGGAACATTGGGCATGTGGCGCTTGATAAATGTAGGGGCTTTTAAAAAATCCTGTTGTGCAAAATATTTTGCTCACCACCCAGAAGACAAAGAGAAACAGTGAGTGTTGACAACATGGTATTATAAAGCCACCCCTACCCAATTTGTTATCCACAAATATATATATTCTTTTTAATTTACTCCAAGCCAGCATGTTGGCCCATAGCATCCTACTTTTATGTCATTATCTCTCTGCCATACACACAAGTCATAGCTGGGGATTTCAACTCGCGGTGAAGCTATGCTGAGATTCCAGATCTCAGTGGTGCTGGCATGAGTGCTGATCTCTTCAGTCATAGAGAAGACAATATCCTAGGGAGACTGGAATTAGTCCTATTTTGCACCATTCAAGCCAAAATGCTGCTTATCAAGAAGCAAGTAATTGCTGGCTAATGGCTATGGGGGGAAAAAAAAAACCCACTGCATTTCAATCTAAGCATCTCTCGGCACATGACAATAAATAAAGCTGCGGAAAGTGGACACATCGAGCGGCAAGGGTTTCTTGAGGAGGTTAAAGAGCAAATAGTAAAAAGGCAAGTTACCTCATCCGACTGGGAGGGACTGATTCTGGGCATTGGCGACACTTGTGGAGTTTTCAACTGTGTGCTGTTACTATCTGGCATGAGCTCTCGATGGACCGTTTGGATGTGGTTCTGGAGTTCGCTTTCAGACTCAAACTTAACGTTGCAGCTAGAACAGCGAGTCTTCAGTCCCCCCGCCTTGCCTTTACCCTCAATGGCACTGAGATTCTCATTCTGGCCCAAGCCCGGCCTATTCGTGCCGGGAGGGATGTTGATGCCTGGGCTGCCGCTCTTACTAAGATTCACACAGCCAGCGCACAGACCATATGGCAGGCCATTGATGTCAAGTTTCACCAGATCTTGCTTGGAACGAAACTCTTTGAGGCAAGACGCACACTTGTACAGTTTTTGGACATGCTGGCCACGCCCTGTGGTCTGGACGGCGGACCCATTCCCTGTCTTTTGCATGTGGAATGTCCCGTGGATTTTGAGTTCTAAGGTGGAGGTCACGGTCTGCATGCAGACCACGCAGCGGAATCCTGTCAGGGAATTCCGCAAGTCAGGGTGCATTTGGCAATGCTCTAAAAACTCCTCTTCGCTCTGGAGAGGCATCTTGCAAATCCGGCAGTTTCCGGTATCAAGGCTCTTACTATGAGTGACTTTGTGTTCGGTAAGAGTTAAAAGGGAGGGAAACCGCTCTCCACAAATGGGGCACATGTAGTGTTTGACAGGGCCTAGGTGGGTCTGCATATGCTCGCGGAGGCCGTTTTCAGAGAAGAAGGTTCGAGAGCACACGTTGCACTTGTAATTCCCTTTAATGAGCTCGGCTTTCTTCTTCACGATGGCGCTCTCCCCGGGTCTGATGTTGTGGTCTCGGAGCTGGTGGTTCTGCAGCAGGGTCTCCATGGTGTAGGCTGCCCCACAGATGTCACACCCGTACATCGGCTCCGAGGTGTCCACATCTTCTTCGCTCCCGTCATGACTGTTGTGGGACTCCTGGCTGTTGGTCAGCAAGGTCTGCAGCTCCACCTCCTCCTTCTGCACTTGCTCAGAAGCCCCGTTCGTGCCACAGTTGGGAGTCTTGGTTTCAAACACACAGTGCTTTTCCCGCAGGTGTTTCTCCAGCAGAATGATTGCGTGGAAGGCTTTGCTGCAGAATTTGCAATTGTACTTCTTGCTGTGAGTGGTGATGTGGCACTGGAGCTCCACCTCGGTGCCAAAAGACTCGCCGCAGAAAATGCACTTGTGCACTTTGCCTTGATTTTCCAGGTGGTTGTGCTTCACGTGGAGCTGCAAGTCAGTCTCGTTGCGGAAGTCCCAGTTGCAAGACGTGCACCTGTAGACTTTCTTCTCGTTACTGTGTTTCACAGCCAGGTGGAGTTGAATGGAAACTTTCGAGTCAAAAACCTCTTGGCAGAGTGTGCACCGGAAGAAGACAAAGGTGTGCATGTCCAGCAGGTGTTTCTGAAGGTCATCCACTGACGTGAACTGCTTATCACAACTCTCGCAGATGTAGTAGGTTGAGGTGATCATGAAATGAATGGTAACATGCTTCAGCAAGGATTCTTGGTTGGGGAATTCCTTGTTGCACTGAGGGCAGGTCAGTTTGGGGAGCACAGTGTCGAGATGAGTTTTTAGGTGAGTCTGAAAGCTGTCCAGGGAAGTGTACTTAGCACCACACTGATTACAGATATATTCTCCAGCTGGACGCGCAGGTGCCCCACCCACCGCCTGCATCATCTTAAGAGATGTCTGCTCTATGGCCACGGGAGATAAGGGGCTCAAGGCCCTGGATTTCTTCCCATTGTGAATATAATTCAGGGCCAAGGGAATGTTTTTATGATTCTCTTTGATATGCTTGTTCAGCTTAAGAACACTGTTGAATATTGGCGAATTTGTACAATAAGAACAAGAATAGACTTCTACTACCGGTTCCTTCGGAGTCCCGAGCACCGGAGACCCAAATCGGGAGCCACTGAGGTCACAATGGACCTGTCTTATATGCTCTTCCAGGGAAGAGTCAGTGAGAAACCCCATGTAGCAATGGGGACAAAAGAACGCATTGCTATCCTTAGCGGCAGGGTTCGCAAATCCATGAGAACATCGGATGTGTTCCTGAAGGGTGTTGAGGTCATTGACAACTTCAGAGCAGAAATTGCACTGGTAGACTATGGCAGGCATGGCAGAAACAATCAGACCTGGATCCTGAGCTTCATGCACTTGCTTCAGATGTTCATTCAGGTTATAGAGTGAGGGCAATACCTCCAAGCAATACTGACAAATGTGGGCCTGTTCTGGCTTGTCCAAATGCATCGTTTTCAGGTGAATCTGCAGAACTGCCAGACTCGAGAACAACTGCTTGTTGCAGTAAATACAGCTGTAGGTCACTTTGGCCTGTTTACTCGAGGGGACGGTCAGGTCAGGGGTTTGCTGAGCAGCCCGCTTCCTGCCCCGGCTCTTTGGGATTGGGGGGGCAGCTTCCACCATGGTCGAGCTGTCCACGGAGAGGTTGGAATCCGGAGTCGTGCTGGACACGGACGTGTAGCCCACTGTGACCAGAGAGGGGCTGTTGCTGTGGTTGCACGACTCGGCTTGCTGGTGGCTGTCCACGTGGCTGTACAGTTCCTCGACGGTGTGGAAGCTCTCCGAGCAAATGCTGCAAGAGTTCTTCTTCTCCCCGCCATGCACCTGCTCCATGTGGTTCATGAGGGACGTCTCCTCCACAAAGAGCTCGTGGCAGTAGATACACTGGAGGGCCGCTCTGTCCTCGTTTGGGGAGCACTCGGGGTGGCACTCCGCGATGTGCTTCTGGAGGTCTTCCGGGAAGTCAAAGCCTTCCTCACACTGACTGCACTTCTGAGTGTCCTTCATCTTCCAGTCCTCCATCCTGGAGCCAGACTGGGACCCATCCTTGTTTCTCTCGTGGACCTGCATGTGTCCGTGCAAGGAACTAGAGGACAGGAACCCACGGCGACAAATGGCACATTTATATGGCTTGTTGGACGTGTGAGTCTTTAAGTGGATCTTCAAGTGATCACTTCTGGAGAATGCGGCGTCACATTCACTGCAGTGGTACTTCTTGTCCCCTGTGTGGAGTTTGATATGGCGGTCTCGGCTCCGCTTGTGTTTGAACAGCCTACTGCAATAGGTGCATTTGAAAGGCAGTTTGTCACTGTGACTCTGCTCATGGTGCTTTAGGTAGCTGAGGCGGCTAAAGGACTTGTCACAGAATTGGCATGGGTATGGGAGTCCAGGGCCACCTTCTTCCTCGCCAAAATCGCATCCTTCTCCATGGCTAGGGGAAGTCTGGTCCTTGCTAGAAGGTGAGGAAGCCGGCCAAGAGCAGGTGGGATCATCTTCAACATCCACTCCATCTGCAATGAGAAGCAAGGGAACAATTCATCTTACGTGCTGAGAACTCGAGAACGAGTTTACCATACCATTTCAAAAAGTCCATTAATAGTTGGACCGTCTAGAACCTTTCGCGGGGCGGGGAGGGGAACTGGAGGCCAAAATATTTGAGTGGAACACTTTCAAATCTGAGCCCAAAGCTTTTATTCTACATTTACTTTTTACTGGGTTGTAAAATATAAAAAGATATTAAATAGTTCTATGTCTCAATTACCCCTCTTATTACTTTTTATCATTTTTCCTTAGAAGCAAGGTATATATTACACATCGACAATTTTATTAAAATGCAGATTTTAATATATTTAATGTTTCTTCTGTATTCATCCTAAAATGATTTGCATATTATGTGAGCATCTGAAGAACCAAATGAAAAGAGGAAATATTACAGGAATGATTTAAAATTAATGCAGTCAACCCAGATGTCTAATATTTAATAAAAAATTCCCTCTGCATTTTGCTTGTTTTTCTATAAAAAGGCAATTCTGAAGACCAAAATCTTTTATGGGGTTCTTATTGATACAGACCTTATTGCTTTCAGCAAAAAAATATTAAAAAGTAAGCACATGGAGGAAGACAGAAAACACAATAATAATTACGTCTTGTGTAATGAAAGACAACCAGGATTTCTTCAATAACTGAAAGATTCGGATACCATAGGCCAGAAAATGGATTATTAAATGTTAGTAGGGTACCGCTAGATATTACATGTAGCTAGGATCAGCCAGGATCAAGAAAAAATGAGAGTTTCACAAGGGCCAGATTGTAATAGTGTATTTTGTTTGGAAAGTTCAAGAGGTGGCCCACCATTTCTTCCTTTTGCAAAAGCTTCAGCAGCATGAACTTCCTTAGCCAAACAGGACCTGCACTTTGAGGTGAGCAGAGACAAAGCGACTTGTGAAAAACTGGAAACAGGAAAAGTGATAAATGATTATGGTAAATGCTGAAAGATTTATGAGTAACAAAGAGAAGACAAACAAGACTGAAAGCCAGATATAACCTTAGCAAGTTATCCATAAAGCAACTCTACCTTACATTAGGTGTTTTTTAACTATGTTCTTGGCAAACGTGCACTCCTATTTCTGTTGCTTTCTTAACATCCAAGTGGAAAATAAGACCTTCTCAAGTAGGTTGTAAAACCTCTTTTTTGCTTTTCAAAACAATCTATCATTCAAGACGAGAAGAAACTGTAAAAGCTTTTCACTCTGCAAAAGAGCAAGATTTTTCAGAAATGCAGCCGAGTAAAGACTATCGAGTGGAACTGGTGGGCATAGTGATCCTAGTAGGATAATAGGTTCAATTAGAATATTATTAGGATATTCTAATAAAATCCGATTAGAATGTGATCAAATAAGTTTTTACATTCTTCAAAGCTCAAGTTCACTAGCAAGCTAAATTATTAACATAAAAGTAGAAACTGGCAAGCAGTATGTAAACAAATTCCACGTCTGCTTTCTTTAAGGTAACAAGATTTTACTAGATTATCAACCTCTTGCTTATCCACAGGAAACAGATGAGGATCATTCCTTTCCTGCATCTAGAAACTGATGACAACACCATCTCACTATCAATGCCAGATGGCAACCATCTAACTCTGAGAAAACAAGCAAACACCATTCCTGGATCTCTGCCCACGGCAACAAAGCTTCGCAATACAAGTTGAAAATCGCATGATTTTGCATCCTCATTTATATGAGTCTGTAACCCAACATGTTTCCAGCGTAAGAAAGGGTCTGATAATTGTGGGTCTGATTTAAATTTAAAGGTGAATGCGTAGAAAAAACATAGACAGATAAGCTCAACTCACCATCAGACAGATAGAAAAATGATTTTTAAAATTTTAAAACAGAACAAAACAAAAACCTCAATGGTGATTCTAGCTTTCCTTTTAAAAAACTGTAAGGCACCTAAAGACACACCAAAGTTTTAAAATATTTCTCTTAAGTGAAAGCAATTGTTATTTATTAAATTTGCTCAGCTTTCTAGGTAAAAATCTCTATTTCACATTTATCTTTTAGGCTTATATCCTGTTGTTGCACTGAAAAATATTTTCAAACACATCATCTCATTGGTATAGTTGGGAAAACAGTGAATCAGAATTTGTCATGAATCTAGACTCGAAGAAAATAACTACTGACCCTAAAAATTTAGCAAATGAACTTACTCTTAAATTGCAGATTGTGTCCAGGCATGATATACTATTATACAAATGTACAAAGAATTACAGAGCAATCGACCACTATAAATAGTGTGCAATCCCTGATACCACTCTTAAATCAGGTTCTTGTCTGTGGGCCATGCCTGACTCTACCTATTACATAACTGTTCTCTTAAGCTTGTAAATTTCAACATGTCAAGTGAGCTGAGGGTTAGGATCAAGTTTTTACTCAACCAGGATTCAAGGGAGCTGGAAACCTTCTCTTCTGTCTCTCCGACCCCTATTATTTGGTCTTGGGGGAAAAGAAAGTGAAAATCACAGATGATGTGTCTTTGTAACTGAAATACATGAAAACAGAGTACAGGATTCAGAAGGCTTAGGCTGGGGGATGGAATAGACGGAGCAGAGTAAAAAGTTTGAGCAGGGAATGCTACTTTTAGAAAAATAAATAAAGGTTTCATGAAAGGCTGATTTCTATTTTAAAATCTACATGGTAAAAAAAAACTCATTTGCTAGTACTATAAGCGGATGTGTGCTTCCAGGGACACACAAAGCACTCAGTGACAAAACTCCCAGTGGGGTTGGTCCCGGCTCCAAGGGTATCAGTCTCCCAAGACTTTTGTGGTGGTGATGGTGGTGTGGCCAATATTCTCTGAGGTCTACCTAAGTCTTCGAAAGCTGCCCGTCCCCATGAACTTCAGCTTTCTGGCAGTCACCACGCAGACTATGTTTAGATGGCTAATATAGATTTGAACACTTTCAAGTTCTTTTTCTTCACATGGAAGAAACCATGGAGGATTCTTCCAGAGCTGGTTTCTGAATCAACTCGAACTCTCTTTTTCCCCTCGGCACTGACTAAGTGCTACTTACAGGAATGTCTTTCTATGTAATGGCAGGTTTTCTGCATTTCGATGTGAAGTACTTAACATGTCCATGCTACATTTTAATTTTTGGAATCACTTCACACTAGGTGACTCTCAGAGAACTGTAGCTCTTACAGCCGGGGGAGGGGGGAGGGGAGAAAGAAACTTTGCTGGAAACCAGCTCCGAGGCCTCCAAGTCTATTTAAAGATGCAAATGTGTGTGCATAGTTAGTGCAGATGTTTTTCTACAGCAACTGTACTTGCTGAGTTTCACCATTTCCATAAAGCACATTAAAACAAGTGTGTGAACACTCCAAGATGAAAGTCTCCAACACTCCTGAGACTTTCAGTGGAAAGTAGAGCCGCCTGACTTTTCTCCAAGCAGACAGGAATGCCCATGATTCAGCAGCCTGAGTAAATAAAAGAGGTCCTTATTTCCTAATTTTGCTGGCTGGCCATCCTGCAGCAGCCTCTGTGCTCCTGCCAAAGGGGATGCAGGACTGGAACTACACCCAGCCGCTGAAGGCCTGTCTTTGTTAGCCAGCCAGGCTTTCCCGACCATCTTCTGGCAACAAAACTGCCATATCCTGCAAGGAAGACCTCCATCTCAGGCTTGATGGTTCTCCAGTCTGCCGAAAAGGACGAAACAACAGATTTGGCCGGGTCTGTGTCGGAGGACGACAGCTGGAAACTCAGCGGCAGAGCAACACCTGTTCGGTCATATTTATGGGGGAAAGTGCTCACTAACGGAGAAGTGAAGTCACGCTAGAAGGTAGTCCACAGGAAAAAAAAAGGCACCGGAGCACAAAGTACCTCTGTGATTTAAAGCCATTGGCCCCTTCTGCGCCAAGCTGAGGAGGAGAGCAGAGACTGGATGTGGATGTGATTATATCCTGGCTACTGGGGACGAATGGATGAGCAACCCCCAGAAGGGGCCATCAGTTGCCAATCAGGGACCCGACCTGCCAGCAGAGAAAAGCTGAGGGTCCTGGCCACTCTGGCTTTCGAGTCTAACTGAAGCAGCCAATAAAATAATAATAATAATAATAATAATAATAATATCAAAGAAGTAGGAAGAGAGGATATGCAGAAAGGTTTGAGGTGATACCAAGTCTTATTTTGTACCATTAAGCGCGTCTCAGCGTTAGGATACGTGTCTGTTGAGGGCAGGCAGCACGCCTTTCAGAATTTGACTCTGGGGGCGCCTGGGTGGCTCAGTCGTTAAGCGTCTGCCTTGGGCTCAGGTCATGATCTCAGGGTCCTGGGATCGAGCCCCGCATCGGGCTCCCTGCTCGGCGGGAAGCCTGCTTCTCCCTCTCCCA